CTACACAGCCACAGAAGATTGGGTGAGGATATTTCTTTTTAAGTAGTGTCTGTGCATCACTCAAATTACTTTCATGATTTATGGCCAAAGCATAGACCTTCTGTGGTCTTGCAGTCTCTGTGGCATCACTGAGTTTCAGATTTTGATTCAATTTCTTGAGAAACACTAGTCCAGGAGTTTAAACAACACTTGATTAAAAGGTTTGCTTTCACTTCAGTCTCCTATTGGCATTATCATTACCAGTGAGTCTTCCCTTTGACAAGACTGCACCAGTTTGTTTTATTTCATCAAAGATGAAATGTGAGGAATGGTATCTTGAAGGCTATAAACCAGTCCTCAGTTTAAAAAGAGCTTCCTTAAGAAATTTTTTGTTGACAAGTCATGCAAAATGCTTTCTACTTTGTTTTATTTCTGTGATGACGTGCCTGTGATGCCAAAACTTTGTCAGATGATTGTGTAGATAAAAACTGCTGATCCTCCACTTTATTCCTCATCTTCCTGCCAAAATAAAAGATAAAATATAAAAACTTGTAATTTATTTGTTGGTGAACAACTTTTTTTACTAGACTCAGTAATCCTACCCTCATTATAAATAAAACTACACATTATAATAAAGTGTAATATTTTTATATCATCAGGAAAAATCAGTTTATAGTAATGATAAAGAAATAAACAAATTTATGATAAGCTACCAATAGTTGTTCATATGAGATACAACTTGAGATCAATGCATAAATAAAATTGGAGAAAGTGATTATAAAAAAACACAATGACATTTTAAGTGTTGCAGTTTTTAATACAGTGACAGATAATTTAGATTATTAGCAAACCATCTAAATATATAGTTATATTTAAACTTTATTTGAAATCTGTCCATCCAAAGGTGCAGGGGATATAGTTTAATGAAACTGTAAATGAGTTTCTATTTTGAAAATACTGAAAGATTGAGAACTAAAGAATGTATGCTACCCACGGGAAGAATATAAGATGCCTTAATTTTGGGTAAGATTTACTCATAGGATTGGTGGATACAGACAATAAGAAACATAAATAGATTTTCAAATGTTGAGGATGAAAAAAATCTGTCTTCAGAAAGAATGTAATACTGTATTCCAAGTTTTATTCAAACTGACTAAATATTTTGTTTTTATCACACAGTGCTAAAACGTTGAAGTTGTTACTGGTATGATGGTGCACTCTCTTGTCTCCTAAACTTTGCTTGGAGTATCTTGTCTTCAAAGTAAGGCTCAGTATATCTTAGAATGTATCATTACATAGGTAAATTTACCTCGATATTTACGAAAGAGGTCAGTTGTGCCTAGTTGATGTTTAAATGTCATATAAACATGGATGAATATAAGATTGAGAGCTCAGCTGCGAATGACGGAAATATCCGTCAGTCGCACATACATATCTATAACTCTATGCGAATGACGAAAAGTACAATTTTATTGTGATTGATGGCAACTCAATTTTATCTGTGAGTCAGAAATTGGCAACTGAGCTGCTCCTGCCACAGTTAATGGGTTAATATGTTGAATGTGTACATTATAACCAGTGCCCTTCCTTGGGCCAATATTGAGCAAATGATGAAGTATAAAATAAAATTAAAACTGAAATAACAGCAAGCAAAATTACTATTAAACAAAATGTTATTGATGTGTACCATGTTCTGCACCTGAGTATTCATTATTTTCATTTTATCCAGTCCAACACCCCCATTATTTTGCACAACAAGCATCGGTGTTATGATGCATGATCACAAGTCCTGATGTAATCATTTGTTTGTTGAAACTGAGGGGAACTTTCTGTTGCTGGTTTCTCTTTTAATTGTGTGTTCTTTTAATCAAGTTATAACTCATTCTAGTACAATTTAATTAGTTATTTTTTGTAATTTGTTAGGTATTACACTCACTGTTTTCAGTTATAAATTTTAACAGTTGACTTTAAAACCATAAAAACTGTTTTAGCCATATTAACTGTAATGTTTTTATATTATTATGTTTTCCAACTAGAGTTCTGCATGGCTTTTATAAATGGCTAAAATAATAGGATTTTTTAAGTGGCTAAAATCTAAAAAAGTCCACTAAAGTTTTTTGGACTGGAGAAAATTTGACCAACCCTTAGGTCAGGTTTAGTTGGTATGCAAATTGAAAAACTATATTTTCTTTATAATTAGTTCCTAATGGTGTAATATTTTACTGGTTTACCAAGTATAATTTACTGGAAACATTTAGACTTGAAAATATCACTTAGACTCTCTGTGAAAGTCACTGTAAAAACACAAATTACCACTGTTGTCTGTAACTCTTCAGTAATCTCAACTGAGTTTGATAATCAGAAGTATTTGTACATCTTTGTGCCATTTTGAAATTCATTTCCAAGAAATATTGTATTCCCAAACAATAAAACTTATAAAAATGAGTAAAGCTTCAGTTGGAAAGTTTAATAATTTGTGTGTCACAACAGATCATTCAAAAAATATAACTTAATTTTTTTTGTATAAATTGCATAACTGACTTTTCAAACTTAAAGTGAGTAATAGATTGTATTAATGATGACAGAATTTTTAATGATCACTTTGTTATTATTCTTGGTCAATGAATATTTGTTGGTTATGGACATAGTGTCATCATCAACTGTATCAAGAATGGAGTGAATAGTCGATAAAATGTTATCAACTTGCTGGTTAACATATTCAACATAAATGTTATGTCCTTCCACTGCATTTTCTTCATTGGAGTCAGATAATGTACCTTTATCAGCAGTACTTTCACAGCTCAAATCAAAATTGGGATCATTCATGAAAAGAATTCTTGGCATATTCATAGAATAATTATTGGTAAAAATCAGTCAGATTAACAACTAATATATAGAAAAGCCAGTGTATTTTGGTAACACTACATTCCAAAAATGGATTTTATGTGATGTTTCTTAGCAATTAAAGTGTAACTTGATAGTGTTGTTATTCTTTGTACTGAAAGTATAAAATGAAATGTATAGACAACAAAACTGAAAAAGTATTTGTTGATTTCTTAATTTAGTCCCTCTGTTGATTAAAGAGGTTTATTTTTTATTAAAAACCTTGGTGACATGACAGTAAATAGCTGAATTCAGAAACAATTGAAGCTTAAAATTGAATCAATATTTTTACTTTCATGATAAATTTTATGTACTTGGCTCTAGGCTAGGTGATCCCACATTACATCTTTACTCTAGGCTTATTATTATGACACACACTAGCTTTTATATAAGTTAGATATAGGTGACTGAGAGCATTGGTGTTGAGTTTGTAACCATTGGAAACTATGTACTAAGTATGATGAAGGGAAAGTTTCTTGAATTTATTATTTAGATGTATTTTGCTTGATTTGTATTCTTTTGCATTAATCCTATGTGTAACAAAGAAAACTGCCATAATATACATATTAATATATCATTACAAATATGTTAATTCTACATGAACTATTAAAATATACTGTTTTTCTTCTTTACAATATAGCCTAGATTAAGCTAAGATTTAATCTAAAGTTCACATGGGTTTCATACACTTGACCAAGAACAAAATTCTAGATAGTCTTCTTCAATATCATCCAAACTATTTTGAATAACTGCAACAGTACTTATAACCTCATGTTTCTTAAGTAACTAACTGAAAAACCAAGGAATTTATTTTTGAATCATTTCTAACCATAAGCTATTAGTTGTTTGAGAGATATTGTAATGTAATTCAGCTAATAAGAATGTGAGGATTTTTTTATCTCCTTATAGCATCGTTTCAAATATTTTCATCTTATCACCCATTTTTCTGTAAATCTTGGTATTTTACTCTTAGATATAGATCATATGACTAAGTAAATGTCAAGTTAAAGCTCTCCTAATGGTGAATTAAATTTGAACAGCAAAAAATTAAGTATCAATAATGTTATTTTAATGAACAAAATCTTTGATTTCAGATTCTTGTTTGGCATACCAGGACAGAACCACCCAAACTAAAACAGGAACAAAAACTGAAAATTCCCTCAAACCAAGGTATAGAAGTCTAACAGTAAATGCACATTTGTGGAAAACAATCACAGTATACCTTTAACTGGTTTTATATAAAATTACTATAACCAATAAGCTAGTTTATAGTTTTTTATATGCTAATGTATTTATGTTTGTAATATGAATGGTTTTTTGCTCAAAGCTTTTTGGGCCAAAATGTAATTGTAATACAGTTGTTCAAAAAATATGGATCACTTTTATTCTATTAGTAATATTTTACTATAAATTTGCAAGCATATTTTTATTATCTTTAATATGCTACATTTCATCACTGAAGTTTTGAAAATTGTTAATTTCAACATTAATTATATTTTTCCAAGTCAAATCAAGTTCGGTCAGGAATTTAGGTTTAAAAATCTTTCAAGCCTCAAAAAAAAAAAATTGGGAGCCTGAAAAACAGCTCTGGGTGGTCAGAAACTTTTGCTTTTCTTCACCCCAAATTTTTCTGAATGTAATAAGCAATCTAACATTCATGAAATAAAAGTTAAATTTGCCTTATTACCATAAATAATACTCACCTAGACTTTTGCAGTACTACAGTAGAAGTAACCCTTTGATGACAAGAATGGTAGATGTATGTATAATCTCTAATTGCACATTCACTGTAGTGCTTGCTATGTTTGCAATCACAGCCAGCAAATATACAAAATGTTAGAGTATCCCTAAAATCTCTTAAAGTGAGTTTGCCTTAGCACTTGCTATTTTGCAATTGTGGCTAACAAATAGATGTTCTCAAAAACCCATTTACAGCCAGAAGAGAAGTAGTGCCAACTATTCAAGTAAATTCTGACTCGGGTTTCATTGAAAATGATCTGTAGTTTTGGATATCAAATGTAATGTTGCTACAACTAGTTATGTATTTCCAAACATTTCTAAATGTGAATGTAAATATATTTTAAAATTCACAAGACTAAGGTTCTTGATCATTTTATTTCAAAAATCATGTTTAAAGATACTGAAAATTAATTAGTGAAGACAATTTTCATTTATGCCGTAGAAACGGAGAGAATTAATAAGATATTCCACCAAAATGCAATATTTCTAGTAAGTATACATTATTGTTCACAATGTGTGTCAGAAAAGATGGTCTGAACTAGCTGTAAAAAAAAAAAGCATTTAGATTTGTTATATATTATATGCACCCATAACTTTCAGATAAATTTTTAGAGAAATGCATATTATGTTCAGAAAATTATAGTATATCGTTGTAATAAACATTTTTGTTATTTTAGTATAAAATGTTTTGGACTGATAAAAGTTATTGAACTATGTACCAAAGATGGATTTTAATCGTGATTGTCAAAATAACTTAGTTTCAGCAGTTTGTATAAGTATGAGCAGAGGACTAGGTCCATTTCATTTTCTAGATATTTTGTCTATGTTGTATTACAAAAGTTGTATATTTAACAAAACTAGTGTGTTTTTTTTACTAACAATATTCACCAGTAAGCAGAGAGCAAATTTGCAATTTATATATGAGAATGCTTACTTGTCTTTGTTGGCAATAATTATTTTTTATTGAGATCTAATAAACTATTGAGTAGGAATCGAGTTAATTACCTGAAAATGAAGTTCTGTGTTGATTATATACAGGTGTTACTTGAATATAACTAGCTTTAGAAAGAGAAATGCAAAACTTACTTTTGTAAAAAATGTTTATAAAGTATGTGATTTCAGTGATTTAAATAGTCTTTTTATTTTTTTAAATTCTAATTTGGAAACTAGTTAATACTTTTCTTGGATGGTAGAATGGTCCTATTGCAAAAATTTTGTACTTACCAATCACTTTGAAATTTACTTGCTTCTTCTTGTGGTAGAAGATGATCATCCCATTTGATGATTTAGACATTACCGCAGTTTCTGAAATTCTTCAATAAAATAACAGTCAGGGTTTTAAAAAACAAATAGTTTGGGATGAGTAATTAACCAGTGAATAAATTCACTACACATGTGTCTGTGTTGAAAAAATGTTCATTCACTTCTAGATAATTTTCAACCAATTACCTTAGGATATTCTAACCAGTTCTTGAACTCATCCCCTTTATGTATAACCAGTCAACATTCATGGTTAATACATCCCATCTTTGTGTGTGAAACATCCAAAATACATGAGGAATGATCTAGAAACCTGTTGTGTATGAAATAGTTGAAAATTGCTACAGCTTTACAATAAATTTACTTACACATGCTATGCCTGTTAATGAATTATAGAAAACTAATAGGAAAAAATTATGCTGGAATCAAAATATGTATATTAAATTAGGCTTGTCTGAAATAGGATATCTATTAAAAACATAACTTTCAAATAGATAACTCAAATTGTTATATGAAACTACAAGAAGACACTTAAGGGTAACTTACATCACATAGGAATAGTGGACTGCACAAGTATATGTAGTGAAGGGAATAATAGTGCACCCATGTTCATAAGTAGTATTCAGTATTTTAATCTGGACAAAATCTAGTGCTTCAATGCTGAGTAATGTAGTTACAGAAGTCATAATTATGGGTGATTTTAATTTCAGGCATATAGATTGGGAAATGCTAGTCAAACCATGAAAGAGAAAGGATTTGGAAACCATTCAGGGTGGCTTTCATCACCGATTAGTCAAGAAAACTACTAGAAACAATGCTATTTTACATTTATTGTTAACTTCAAATAGAAAAATGATTGAGAGCGTGGAAATTGGGGAACATGTGGGTGCAAGTGATCATTGCTCTATTAGGTTCAATGTTTTGCTACATACGGGGATAAGGAATAATGATATTCTGGTTACAAATTTCAAAAAAGCAAATTTTGAAGGGATGCGACAAGAATTATCTGTTGTGAATTGGAGACACTGATCAGATGTTGACAATTTTTAAAGATAAAATTTTAAAAATTCAAGGTAAACATATTCCTTATAGAAAGAAAAGGATAGCTGCAAGTAAAAAACCAGGTTGGCTTACAAAGAGTTTAAGATATAAAATTAAAGGAAAGCATCATAAATTTAAGAAATTTAAATTGACTGGTATGACAGGAGATTTAGAAGATCAAGAAAATTGGTGAAACAGGAAATCAGGGCATCGAAAAGGTTGGCTGAAGATGTAAAAATCAACAGTAAGGATTTCTTTAAATACATTGAAGGTAAACGAAATGTTAGGATGAGAGTAGGACCCTTGAGGGATGATTAAAGAAGGCTAGTATCTGATGATTATGAGATGGCTGGGTTATTAAATTTTGCTTTTTCTTCAGCTTTTACTAACGAAAGTTTAAGCAGTATTCCCCATCTTGAACAGTTGATAGATGGAAACAAGATTCGACTAGATGACTGCATTAATTCTGAGATGGTTAAGAAATAATTGGGACATTTAAAAAATGATAAGCATCCTGGGCCAGATAATATTTCTCCAAGATAAGGTTAATGGTTAGATATGTGAGCCACTTATTACTATTTTTGTCAGTCTTGAATAGTGGGCAGGTACCAGAGGATTGGAAGTTAGCTAATGTAACTCCTACTTTCATTGGAGGTGGTAAAAATTGTCCCAGTAATTATAGACCCATTAGTTGTACATCAGTTGTGGGAAAAGTTTTGGAAAGTCTGTTAAAAGATGCTTTGCAAAGTCATTTAACAAAGTTTAGAATCTTATTGGATAGTCAACATGGTTTCACTAAGAGAAAATCTTGCCTTTCAAACCTTTTAAAATTCTTTGAAAAGCTTACTGTTTATGTAGATGAGGGAAAGGCTGTGGGTTTGGTGTATCTGAATTTTCAGAAAGCATTTGACAAGGTGCTACATAACAGGCTTGTAAAAAAAAATTAGCACTATAGGTGTGAGGGATGAGTTAGCACATTGGATGGAAGAAATCAGAGGGTTGTTACAAATGGATTTCACTCAAACTGGATTAATATCACAAATGGGGTACCTCAGGGCTCAGTATTAGGACCTATGCTCTTGTTGATTTACATCAATGACATAGATGAAGGAGTAGTCAATAAATAAATTACTTAAATTTGCATATGATATTAAGGTCTTGGGTGTTGCTGGCTGTGAGGAGGATGCTACTGTCTTACAAAAGGATTTGGATTATTTGTTGAGCTATGCAAATAAATGGCAGATGGCTTTTAATTATAATAAACTCAAGATAATGCATGTGGGTTATCATAATTTGAATAATAAGTATAATTTGGATGGGAATAACCTTAATAGTGTTATGAAGGAAAGGGATCTTGGAGTAATAGTTGATCAGTCTAAACCATCCAAGCAGTGTGCTGTTGCTAGTGGTAGGGCAAATAGAATTTTAGGTTTTATCTACAGAAATATTAAATACGAGTCTAATACGGTTATAATTTCATTGTACAGGTCACTGGTTAGGCCACATTTGGAATATTGAGTTCAGTCTTGGGCTTCTCACCTTAGGAAAGACATTGAATTGTTGGAAAGGGTTACTAGAATGGTGCCTGGGATGGAGGGGTTGTCTTATGTGGAGAGGCTGAAATCTCTCAAATTGTTTTCTTTTGAAAAAGAAGAGTTAGGGAAGATCTGATTGAGGTGTTTAAGATTGTAAAGGAATTGATAGTGTTGATGCATCATCTTTTTTGATATTTAACAGTGAGAATAGTAGGACTAGAAGACACAAATATAAATTTTGGCAAGGTAGGAGTCATCTTCAGTTAAAACGGTTACATTTTTTTAACAGGGGTTGGCCTTTGGAATGTGTTGCCTTCAGATGTTGTAGAGGCAGTAAATTTATGTGAGTTTAAGAAAAAGCTTGATAAGTATATGAATGATTAGATTTAAGATTTTTTTCTTAATTATTGTAATTTAGTTTAGAGGATTGAACAGCCGAGATGGACCAATAGGTCCCATGTTGTCCCAAAACATTATATTATGTCCTAGAGAAGAGGAAGGAAATGATTCAGAGCCCAATGATCTGCCAAAAGTTCCAGGAGATTGAAATTTGTACTTGACCTCTGACAAGATTTTTCTCAAGCATCCAGATAAGCCCCCCAACCTGACAGAGATGCATCTGTGAAAAGGTGTAAATCTGGTGTGAGAGGTGGAAGAGGAACTCCAGCCATGGTGTTGTCTCTTTTTCTATCTGGAAAAGTTTGTTTGCAGAGAGGAAGGAAGGGAGAATCCAGGGGATTGCTGGGGAGGTCCCATTGATCATGTACAACTTCCTGAAGAGATATCATGTGGGCCAGATGCAGGGGAAGAAGGGCTTTCAAGGATGCCCAAATCCCCAAAAGTGATAGAACCTCTTGTGTGGGTCGAGTAGAAGAGGATTGTGCCTTTGGAACTGCTAACTCCATGGACCAAGTCAAAATGGAGATGGTTGGGCCTGACTGAGGTAAGAGTTGAAAAAGACCCCAAGATGATTCAGATATTGAGTCAGGGTCAGTACAGATGTCTCTACCTTGACCAACCAACAAGTGTAACTTCTTGGAAAAGAAGATGAATGTAACAGGAGGCTACTGCCCATGATGGAGCTAGAAGAAGCCAGTTGTCCATGTAATGATGTAACCAAAACCCCTGGGAGTGGACACATCTGGCAAAAGCTTTGATCACCCAATAAAAAACGTAGGGGGCCTAGGAAAGGCCAAACAGAAAAGCTCAGAATTAATAGACCCAACCTTGTGGATGAATTGAAGAAACCAACAAGATGCTGGGGATTTGGAGGTAAGCATCGAACTTTGTCTTCCACAAGCCTGAAGGAAATGCCCATTGAAGAGACAGAAACAACTCCATGGTGAAATGAGGAATATCTGAAAATGATTTCAGACTAGATGATAGGTCACCAGTCCTTTGTCCTTTTGAGGACAACAAATGACCAAGAATAGAACCCATAGCAGGGATGAGCCATGGATTCTATACCACCCATGAATAGAAGGTCCTGAACTGCCTCTGGCAAATACTGGCAAGATATGGGATCCTTGGGGGAGGGAAAGGAAACAAAAAAGGAGAGTCCTTCTGATAAAACTTGCAGCATGTAGGAGGGAGGTTAAAGATAAGCTAAGGTGGGAATGTGGAGCATGTGAAAAATGAACTGAAAAATTCAAGTCCAAACTCCAAACTAGGTTTAAAGAATCCAAAAAAGGAATCAAATCCCAATGATAGGCCAAAACATGAGTGTTGGAAGTGCAGGGGTGAGACATGCTAATCCCTGAATGTAATTGCTCTGTAAAATGCTCATCATGAACCAGGATATCAAACAAGAGAGGAATCACAAAATATTCAGGAGAAGGTGTGTCATGTAACAAAGAAGGAGACTGCTCAAATGACAGGGGATAAGGACAAAGTGTAACAAACCTGTGTGATCAAGTCCAAAATATTTGATGAAGGTCTAGGTGCATCAAACACATTTGCATGAGACTGCATGACAAAGGAAGGGGAAGGAAAAGGTTTTCTTAGTCGTCATCCTCCCATTCAGCACCCCTAGGGTAATGGAGAACCACCAGCCTGCATGAATGACTCCATTTCAAAGTGAATTAGTGCCAAAACCTCCTCAGCCAATGATGTCACACCTGTGGTCACAGCAACAATTGGTTGATCTATGGTAGTAGTAGAAGCAGTTGAATAATTCGTATCAGTAAACTGCAAATTCATAAGTGAAATTTGAAATGGGTAAATAACCCAAGATGAAAAGCCTTGGTAAACAACAACAAAAAAAGGTTCACAAAATAAATACTGATTGTACAGAACTGCTTTGAGACTACTAAAGTTGAAAGTTAAATACAAAAAACTAAGTTTAAAACAATGAAAAATTTAAGCAAAATTTTAAAATACAAAACATGGTGAGCAATAAGTCTAAACACTTGAGGGCCAAATCTAGAAGTTAGGTTGACTATAATTCAGGGAGGGCTAGATGTTGGAGAAGAATGTATGACACTTCTATTGGTGGAGGGTTGT